ATTTGGGAGCTGACCCACGATCAACAAGGGACACTATTGCATCGGGTACGTTCTTTAGCCGTTCAGTCTCAGATTGAGTGATAAGGTCTGGGATGGTGTGTTTAACTTTAATTCTGAGTCTGTGGTTAAACGCCTATGATGTTACCATTCAAGTGAAACTTCTTCAGCAGTAGTTTCGCATGTTACTATTTATTTTGTACGTAGTTCTAACTTTTGTGTTTGTGGATACACTTCTATGATATTACTAACCAAATGAAACCTCTTAAGCCGTACTTTCACGTGGGGGAAAATTAAAGGCCCTACGACTTTACGTTTGGAAATCCCCTGGTACGTGATGCACGGAAAGCGTGTTAAAACGATAGTTTGGGACTACGATTACTCTTCGTTTTTAATTTTGTTTTGCTATGAAAATACATCACCCTTCCTCATCTGACTGCCACTGAACAAAAAGATAATTTACTACCCCAAAAAACCAAGACCACACAAGACTGTTTTACAACTTTAATATGCTGTCGTTTCAATTTTTGCTTTTTCGTTAATTATTATTCTTAGAAAAAGATAAAAGCAAAGACGTCAAGAGGAAGGAAAAGAATCGGGAACGCAATCAGACAAGGAAGACTCGCGATGATAAACCACGTGATAAGGATCGTTACAGATACCGTGACGACTACAGTGAGCGTGACAGAGATGATCGTGGCCGTACGCAAGATAAGGCACGCGACTGTGACCAAGGCAGTGACAGATCGCGTGACACTGAAGCATCAAAAGAAGAAGATAAGAGTAAAGACAAAAGAGGCCATGACAATGAGACAAAAAATGCAATCGAACCCAGATTCAGACGTTTTAGCAGTAATTCTGCAGAACAAAATAATTTTCCTTCCTTGTAATTTATATGCACAGTTCTGAGGTGCATAATGAAAAGTTAAAAAAAAAATACTGTGTTTTTTCCAGGCAGCCAGAAGTTTTATTGAAAGCCTTATGTGTAAATAAAGCCATTCAAGTTGTGTCGAAAAAACTTTTGTAAAATTCTATTTCTACTTGTTTTTAACCACTATTAGTTTAGTGGCTCAGTTTTGACGAATTTTTTTATCCATTTGTTGATGGTGAAAATAACTTTAAATCATAAAATCAATGTTTTTATTGTTGATTACCTTAACCCAAAATGATGAGAATGTTTAGTTTAGTATTGTAATCCTTTGATCTCTTGCTTTATTTTTTAATTAGCAAAAAAGTGACTAACATAATATGCAAAACAGTGAAAGGTTTGAACACAGCGTAGGTTGAGCAATACGTTGAGCATGATTGTCGGGGCAAGTGTAGTCCAGAATAGAGTACTATTAAAAGTGTGACGTCATACAAATGAAATTTCTGAAATTATGGGATTTGCCAGGATATTCTGAAAGGACAATGTCCAAGAGGCCTACTTGCCAAAAATGAGCATTTCGGGGCAAATTGTCTTTGAGATCGTAGCCCAGTTAACCTTACAAAACTCCATACAAACCCTTCTAAATTTTTTTTGGGTCGACCCAAAGAAAATTTAGGCGTCCAGACAGTGGGGAGCGGTGGGAAGTACAAAAAGAGATGAAAAGTAGAGGGGGAACTAGCGCTCGTTTTTACTTCACACCGCTCCCCGCTATCTGAACGCCTGCGGGACCAGGCTAAGAATAGGGTGTCATTTTCCAAAACTGATCCATTGCTTGAAGATTTTAGTCTAGAGAAGAGAAACCAGGAATTGCTACTCAAAACATGTAAAAAAACAAGTCGGCAAGTTTAAATTTACCCAATTCAGCCCAAAAGCTATTCTAGGATAGGGGATTTGGTAATGATATGGTGGCCTTTTTCTACGAGCTAAGTGGCAGGAAATGAGTGTGTAGCCATACCACAATATGGACCCACTTCCCCGTAATGGACAAGAAGGGTAACTATTACATCATATTTTATCTGGCCGGCTGAAGCATTTCTTATAAAGCAAATCAATGACTTCATACTTTTGATATCGTCTCATTTCGTTTTATTCATTTTACTTCGTTAAAATAAGGTTTGTTTGGGGAATAACTGAATGTTATCCAAATAAGTGGAAAGTCAAAGTACAGTAAGAAGATATCTTTCAAATCATGTTGCAAGTTGAAAAATGCTCTAGGTAGAAAAACAAAAGGTAAATGATCTGAAAATACACTTTAAAGTTCTCTTTGACATGAGTTCAATCATAGTTAGTAGTGTAGACTGGTTTATGTTGGAAGCTCTCTGACCGTGAACAAGCCAATGTTCTTTGTTCACAAATGGTGGCTGAATAAATTAATGAGATGATTTTATTGGTCTGTAAATTCAAAATGATAAGATTACTATTGAACGTTGTGCACAATCAGGCCCAAAAAGCTAACAAAAAAATATAACAAGAGAGTCTAACGGGTTTTATAACCATTCCATTTTAATAACTATGGTTCAACGCAATGGCACTAAGTGAAACATGATGCATAACACAATTTCAGTTCGTTATATCATGAAAAAAGGGATTCATGCTTTTACAGGCAGGAGAGCGGCAAGGGAAAAAAGAAATGCTGCAATAATCTGGGGGTATAAGTAAGATTAAAACATTGGATCAGTGGAATAGTATTTAAGTGAAATGTTGGACTCAGTTTGAGTGTGCGTATTGGACAACCCTCCGGACACGTGCAAAAAGGTTCTGGGGTCCAGATATATGCGCGAGGTGAGTTGCGTGCGCCATAAAAAACATGCGTCTATGACGTTAGCTTTTAATTCTGCAACAATTCATGAAGGATGAAGTGGAAAACGTTATTTTCACTGGTGCTTCTTGCCCTAGTATTGTTGAAAATCAAAATTTGTAACGGTAAGAGTGGCCCTCCCTTTGTGGACTTCACTTAATTGTGTCCTGAATGTGCAAATGTCGTTTGTTGGTATTTTGAATGCGTTTATTTTGTGCATTCTTTTTTCCTTGAATTAAGCTAGCACAGCATCGTCAATTGGATGGCGAATTTGAAAAATATTTCTTTGTTCAAGCGCAAAAATTGCACAGCATATGCACAAAAATTATTCCGCACTATCTTACCCCTTGCAAAAATTTTCAGCAGGAACAAAGTCCGTTTCTGCGGCGAAAGACAATGAAGAGTCAGTAACAACTGGTAAAGAACGAGGAAACATCTATCCTGGAAATGAGAATAACATCTTTACCGTGCGCAAGCTTGCAATGCGAAGATTGGCCAAAAGGCATAAAACTGGTGTTTCAACTCGTATTGGAGTAAGACCTACAGCTTCGTCAACATTCGAGCGAGTGCGACCACCATTTGCTACAGGCAAGAAATATTTTTAAATGTATCTGGTAACTACCTAGAACAATTTTTCATATTTCCTTTCCAACTTTCCCAACGCAGTAAGTTTTAGACTGAAAAGCTTGGGTTTTGACGTTGATTGGCTATTGTTTTATCCTTATAGTTGTTATTTCGAGAATTTTTCTCTTGAGGGGAGAATAATAGACCTTTTAAAGACAAAAGAAAGTTTACTTTAATTTGTAACCACCTCTTTAGGTTTTAATGCATCAGCTAGACGTTAATATGGAGACCAAAAAAATGCCCCGGCCGGTTGTTCAAAAATGGATAGCGCTTTCCGTTAGATAAAACTATAATCAAGGGATAAAGCAACTGGTTTTGGTACAACTTATATTCACTGGATAATGATTTTTCCGATAGATATAGTGCTATCTACTTTTTGAGTAGCTGAGGACTGAATGGGAACGTTTATCATACCGATTTGTCTGTTAAAGCGACCTCATATCAGGGGGTCTCAATGGGGTGTTGGCGTTTACAGTTATCGCCTAAAATTTTGGCTCTTTTACGGCTATCGATTAATTTTTTTTCAGTTACGATTAACGAAAAAGTTAAAAATCAACTTCTTTTGTTTCAAAAAGTTAAATATTAATTAACCTGTATTTTTTTGGAATAAAGATCTTCCGATCATCTCGGGATGAAAATTTCAGGGAAGGGGTGTCTGTGGGGAGGACGCGACTGTACATAGGCTAGTCTCAGATGAATGATCCATTTCTGGCTCTAGTGTGAAAACGGCCAATAACAAAATTCCAGTGTCCAGTGTTGTTAATGATAGCGAAGGACTGTACGGAACGACTGTCTGCCGTAGCCTTGTCCGTAGGCCGCATTATTTCGCGCTGCTAAGGCGTTTCGGGTCACGTGGTCCGAGCGAGTTCGCAACCGAAATGCCTTGACCGAGATTGCGTGGAACACGCTGACAGGGACTAGGCATGGTAATGTCTACCGTAGCGTCAGAGAAAAACAGGGAAATGTTGTTTATCGGCAACGTGTTTTACAAACAGTGACATCTCTGCGTGTTGTTTCGCTAGTGTTTCGAGGGCACGACCTCCGGAAAATTGCAAATATTAATCCCCAGCAAGAGGCCACACTTTCGCTATGGAAAAAATTAGTTCCCCGAGAGAGCGCCGGAAATGGAGCCTAGGTCTTGGTTAAGGCGCTGCGTACGGAGTCACACCAGCCGGGAAATAAAAAACGCAACCATAAGTGAGTTTAGTACCTTCCTTAAAAGTAGCAAATCTAGGGAACACCTAATTTTACCGTTAACTCTTTTTTACCCTATTTACGGCGAACGGTTAAAATGTTTCAATTTTTACGGCTATCGGCTAAATTTTTGGCCGTTTTAAGCATACCGGTTAACCCCATTGAGACCCTCATATCAGGGCAGGATATCATAAAAACACCTCTAGATGAGTGTTATCCAGAACCAAAAACGCTAAGAGGTGGCTTACTTTTCCCTTGTTAAATGATATCTGCGTTTTTATCCTTCCAGAAGTACCAATCCAGAGAAAAGTTAAACTACCGGTGATCTTAACACCCTTACCGACACCAGACGAGGACAGGTTCTTTTCGAAGACCAGTGGAGAAGGTGCTGGCCATGGTTCATCAAAATTCAATACTCAAGCTAAAGACAAAAGCGATACAAACCACGATCATTCAGAGCATGCGCAAGATATTCCTAAACCCCGAATAACAGAGCACGACCGCCCAAAACAAGGTGGCACCAACTCTAAGGCGCATCAGCACAAACCAAGCGCGCATTACGAGATGCCATCCTCAGGCCTCCGTTGGACTGTGTACCATCTCAGGACTGGGGACCAAAACGAAAACAAAAAACGTTACAAGAAAAGAAAGAAAAGAGCCGCACCTCAGCAAATTGACGACGATAGGGAGGAGCCTGTTACTGATGAAGACGATGGAGAAAGACAGTCAAGATCTTCTGTCAATTTTGCATTGGTTGGTGCTGGTATAGTGGTGTTCCTGTTCATATTTGCTGGACTGGCTTGTCTGTGGTATGTTGCTTTGATTTTCCAATGAAAGAGACTTTCCTCGTTTGTGTGATCGATATAATCTTAGGTTCTTTATGAAATTTACTTAGTCGTGGCTGAATTGCCAATGTTTAATAAGAATGTTTTAAGACAGGAACCGATGATAGTTGACACTGTTTAGTGATTGCTTTTCAGAAACTCACCATGAACTTATAACTAATTTTTTTTCCATTCCGTTTACATAAAGGTAGAGCCGACGACTATAAATTGGCAAGCCTTGCAAACAACAAGAAAGCAAATCATGTAGCTAGTAGTTTTGTTTAACACGTCTTCATTGGCGGACATATTACTAGGTTTGCGTTACGATAAACTAACTTGTATATCGAGGATCGTACGTACTTTTTATGTTCCAGCAGGATTTGTAATACCTTTCCCCCCCAATTCCTTCACAAGATGTTATTTCCGAGTGATAGATATTGAGTCACGGAACTTTTGTCAGTTAAAGCTGTTTTACATAAATTAAATGCGGTCTAAAAAAGTATACATCTATCAGAGTTTTGAGTTAATATTGGTTGTCAAAAAGAAAAAAATATATGTGAAACTATATTTTTTTTCTTTTTCACAACTAATATTAACTCAAAACTCTGATAGATACATACTTTTTTAGACGGCTTTTATGAATAGAATATTTTATTAGGTATTAACCTTTGATAAAATATTCTAGTCTAAAACTATAGTAAGCAATCAAAGAAGCTGGGGAAGCAAGCAGTTCCAATTCAGATTTAAATAAGTTCATTGAGACTTGCATTCACGCAAATTCACGAGTAATTTTTTTCCAAACGAAATTCGCCCATATAGCCAAAACGTTTTTTGGTTTTGGTAAGAAGCAGTTGAAATCTTCAAGAAGAGCCCCTTGTATCATAGGTGGACCCAATTTTCAAAAATTTTTGTTATAATTGCTCAGGTTCCATATTGTTGTACACCTTGAACATTTCTATCTATTTAATTCTGCGTATAGTGAGCTCGTCCCATCCAAGCTCTTGGAGCAGGGGGCAGATAGAATCATAACTGAGAAAGGTTATGATCCTAGCTACGCGGTTTTGTAGTTTTTGAAGCTTCAGAGAAAATTCTGAATCTAGCCCCTCCCAAACAACGCTGTAATAGTCAGGGTACGGTCGGATAACTTGAGAGTTATACTTTGTTTCGAGGGTCGACGGAGGAACAAATTGTCTCGCACACTTAAGCGCTCCGATTGCGCTGATTAATTCTCTATATGTGGTGCCCGTGTGAGCACCTCGTCAAAGCAACATGTAGACTAACGGATTTGGTAGATGTTGCTTTACAGAAATCGGTGGATGTTTGATTCTTTCTAGTCTCACTGTCCACTCAATCAGTTTGTTAGAAGTCTTTCGGCTGCTCTCCTGCCCCTCACCACCGTTCACAATTATAGCACTTTTGCTCTTTAATTTCACTTGCAGGAGAACGTGTAAGAAAAGATGCTTACGGAGAAAACACCCTGACCTGACTAGCTCCAGCGAGCGGCTTAGCCAGGAAGAGAAAATAAACTGCGGGACGCGGACATCAAGGGACTCTGATAGTCATCAACCCAAACCAAATCCGTCATCTTACCAACTTGCAGCCACACACTTTGATGCCCAATCACCGTGGACCGTAACAGAAACTCCCTCTTTGATGGCAGTTTCTCCTATAGAAAACACTTACGTGGTGGTCGATATTCCTGACTCAAATCTAGCTTCTGAAAGACATACTGCTTGCTCCATTGTTGATCTCTCTGAATCCAGTTCAGTTTGTGTGGTTGTTGATGCTCCTCAAGCCGACTCCCACGAGGTTGTTGATGTACCTGACATGAGCTCTCCGGACACCTCTTTTACCTGTTCTTCCTTATCTAACGTGTTTTCGTGGTTTTCCTCATCATCTTTGACGTCCGTGTCCTCACTTGATATGACTTCAGCAGAACCGGAAGCCTCATCTCTGTTTCCAGAACCTGTAGTCCAGTGCTCCTCACTAACACCTATTTCTAGAAAAACCCTAAAGGCAGAAACTGAACTCAACGACGACCAAATAATCTCGTCAACCGTTGAACCGGAAATAGTTATCGATGTGCTACCATCTGAGCCTCCGATTCCACTGACCATCGAACCAGAGTCGTCTTTACCCTCGGTGGAAAAACAGGCACTCCTGGAATCATGTCTCTTGATTCATCCGGCCTCGCCCAAGCAGTCATCCCTCTTCAGTTTATCTGCTTCCACCTCTGACGAAGCAACACGAATACTTGCCTTGGAAACAGAAAATGTTGACTCATCCCAACTCTCTTGCAAAACTCCTCTGGCAGTGACAGGTGATGTAATGTTGACTATTCAAGACGAAGGTGAAGTTTTTCTTCGCGCATGCAAGACATCAGGAGCTGAAACTACAATGATGACCCGGAATAGTGAGAATGAAAAACACGTTATACGGAACGTGGAAAGTCGAAGTCCTGCAAGTGACATATCTGGCGTGTCTACAAAAACCTTTGTGGAAGATTCCGATGTGAAAGGTAATGTTAAGGATAGTTGTGCAGCAAAGCCTGAAAACGGCAATGATGTCTTGACATTGATTAAAAATGTTGTTGTTATTGACACTTCAGGAGCGACAGGTTTGGCTGAAAATCCTGAGATTGAAAAGGAGAGTGAAATCTATGACGTCACCATCCAGGAAAAGGATGACGTCATGGTAATTGGAAACGGCACAATCGAGTTTTCTGGCCTGACGTGCGGCAATAAAGAATTTCTAACGATGACCGGTGGTGAGTCTTTTAACCCTAATGTCTAACTTCATACTCTCATTTGTTGTCTTTATCACATTTTCAATAGAAGAAGTGGAGACAATTTGTTGATTCAGAAATATCAAGTCGATTCACTTTCTCTGATCATGTTGTCAAATCTCATGATCATTGATATTGTAAGGAGAAATTTCAAGCTGATCACTCTTAGGGTTTAAAGTATTAATGGTCAAATTTCTTTTTCTAGTAAAAATACATGACATTTACACACAATAAAATCTGCACTTAAATCGGTAGCGAGCGCGACCTTTGTTCTTTCTTTTGCGTCTCTTGAAATGGAAACGAGGTTGTCTCACGCTGTAATCACTTTCCTTGTCAGAAAGGAACTTAACCAATATTAGTGTGTTTAACGGCGTGCGGAATGAAGGCAACAATAATATTCGCAGTTTTACCTGATACAAGCTTTCAGCTATTTCAACATCGTTCTAGGGACGAAGTCTAGGTATTCTGAACTTGGGGCGAGCGAGAAAATGAACCGCGTGAAGACTGAAAAGAGAAGCCTCGTCCGTTTCTTATTATTGATTCATTGTTTTACTTACTGTTACCAAAAATTCAGATTAGCTCATTTTGTTGTTCCACTCAAATTTTTATCCTCTTCAATCTTTTAGGAACTCCTTCAACAGTTACTCGGTCCTTGGAAGAAAACAGCACTGCGGAAGCGAATAGTTCTTTATCTGCTTCAGATAGCGAAAGTACAGCGAAATTGATGGTGGGTATTTATTCAAGAAATCATTTATTCTTTCTTTGATGCCGATAACATAAATTTCAGTAAAAAAATAACCGAATTTTTTTTTTTAATCGACGCGAACTTCTTTAAAAAGTAGGGTCCTTCAGTTTTAAGCTTTATTTTCTCAAAAACATTAACCAGTAATGAAATAGAATATAAATATTATTATTATACGTTGTACTATCTTTCTATCAGTCTCATTGGCTAATAGACTTTCAAAAAAGTCCTTCGTCGGATTTCAAATGGCGCGGGACGAAGCACTTTTCATACTTGATTGGCGCCAATTTTACCGACCCAAAAACGGCTAGCTCCGCTCGTCAAGAGGTCGACTTGTAGCAAGTCTAATTGGCTAAGAGCCTACAGCTATTTTGGTAATCAGCGCAACTTATAGATTACTTAGTTATCTGCTAGATAACTGACTAATCCAATAACAGTATCATGCCATTCAGGTTCCTAATGCGACGGTATGTTTATCGTTATTTTTTTCAAAACAATTTATAACAAAACAATTATAAGATTCAGTTTTTTTGATATCCGGAATAATCAAGTGTTATAAGAATCGGCCTTCGGCTCGGCGGATAAAAACTGTTGAAAAATAAATCTGGTCGATGAACATACAACCAGAAACTAATTGCCATGTAGAAATAATAAATAGCAAACGGCAAGTATAAATCAAAGGGAAAAGTTGGCCACGTGGCACAATTTCAGGTTTGTCGTTTGCCGTGAACGCGATTTTAAACCACTCTATTATTTCCTAATTTCACTCATCACCAATTGACTAGCTATAATATTTCTATCTTTAATGGGTTTTAGGATCGTCTCGATGCAGAAGTTTATGAAGTAAAACAAGGTCCTTGGGAAGCTGACTTACGGTCACCAACAAATATTGCCGAAAAGGAGAATGAAAGGAGAGAAAAGGAGATCACGTCCTCGGTTACTGGTACTGGCGAAAAGAAACCACAAGTAGGAGAATCTTCTAAGGAAAGTGGAAAGGATGAGAAGAGAAGTAGTGATCAACGAAGACTGCGTAACAAGGTTAGTGATTTTGTTAACCAGAAACAACTAATTCCCATGTAGAAATAATAAATAGCAAACACCAAGTATAAATCCAATGGCAAAGTTGGTGACGTGGTACAATTTCACGTTTGCTGTAAACGCGATTTTAAACCTCTCTATTATTTTTAAAACTTCACTCGCCACCAGTTGATTAGATATACTATTTCTGTATTTGGTGGGTTTTAGGATCGTCCTGATCGAGCACTGTACCAGCCGCCAAGAAAAGGTATTTTGGGAGCTGACCCACGATCAACAGCAAATTTTGCAGGAAAGGAGAAAGAAAAGAAGGAAAAGGAGATCACGTCCTCGATTACTGGTACTGGCGAAAAGAAACCACAAGTAGGAGAATCTTCTAAGGAAAGTGGAAAAGATGAAAAGGAAAATAATCACTATCAACGAGTACAACGAGTGCGTAACAAGGTTAGTGATTTTGCTAGAAATAGTTATGGAGATTCCTGTGAAGCATGAGTCCCTGTCCAGAATCAGTGAGTCCCAGTTTAAAAAACGAGTCCAAAGTTCAAATTGCTTGGTCCTTTCCTGTATCCAGACAGTTAATCTGAAAGCAGAATCTAAAACTTTGTATTGTATAGACACCGATGAAATACCAGGATTTTTCCAGTCACGAATATTTGGTACAAAATACATCTGATCGATCAACATGACCAGAAACAACTAATTCCCATGTAGAATCAAAGGGAAAAGTTGGTCACGTGGTACAATTTTACGTTTGCTGTAAACGTGATTGTAAACCTCTCTATTATTTCTAAGATTTCACTCGTCACCAGTTGATTACATATATACTATTTCTGTCTTTGGTCGGTTTTAGGATCGTCCTGATCGAGCACTGTACAAGCCGCCAAGAAAAGGTCATTTGGGAGCTGACCCACGATCAACAGCAAATTTTGCCGGAAAGGAGAAAGAAAAGAAGGAAAAGGAGATCACGTCCTCGGTTACTGGTACTGGCGAAAAGAAACCACAAGTAGGAGAATCTTCTAAGGAAAGTGGAAAGGATGAAAAGGAAAATAGTCACTATCAACGAGTACAACGAGTGCGTAACAAGGTTAGTGATTTTGTTAGAAATAATTATGGAGATTCCTGTGAAGCATGAGTCCCTGTCCAGAACCAATGAGTCCCATTTTAAAAAACAACGAGTCCAAAGTTCAAATTGCTTCGTCCTTTCATGTATCCAGACAGTTAATCCGAAAGCAGAATCTAAAACTTTTTGTTATATAGACACCGATGAAATACCAGGATTTTTTCCAGTCACGAAAATTTGGTATCCGGTGAAGACCCAATTTTTATCCTTCACATGTGAAGATATTACGGTTGTCATGGTTACGTCAGTCTCAGCCCATAGGAAAAGAGCATCACAGCATCTCGCCATCGGTGTCTATATAATAGACAGAATATTACATGCCCTCTTGTGGATATGTATTTTATCTAGCACTCGTGAGATATCAAGTTGAACACGAGAAGATAAAATTCGTATCCACGTGCGGGCATGTAATATCCTCTATATATTACAGTATACTTAAATTAAGATATAGCCCTTCCTTTTTTAAATCACAAGAGAAGCTAAAAAAAATGTGCATCGTTAAACAACCGCCATAAAAACCGCTACAGAAATCACAGGAAAAGACTAATTTACCAAAACACGTATTTAGATCGATCGATTTTTGTGGGTCGCATATACCAGAGGTAAGAATCACGGAAGGTAAATAAACGTTGGCTGCTGTGTTTTTTGTTTCTTTTTTTATTTTTCTTTGCCCGACCCTCAACTCCAGAACAGTCCTATCTTCGCGCTTTAGAGTTTTGCGTACTCCATTTCTCCTTCTCTATCAATGGAGAACTAACGAAAGGAGACTCTGCTCTCAGGGTGCCCACTTTTCTAAATAACATCTTTCCTCAAGGCTGCAAAACCTAATTGTAGGGCTCAAGTAGTGCTAATACGGAGTCACAAGTTAAATGTTCAACACTCGAATGAAGATCACTAGTCGCACTTGCAATTTGTCTGGACTAAGAAAGCAGCCGACATGTCAGGACGTTGTTTCTCCAAGAACTGACGTCTGCGAAACGAGCACAGGAATTATATACCTATAGCGTGTCACTACTCAGATTTGGGCGGTGCTTCTGATCGGTCTTGCCGCGTGGGAAATTTACTTCAGCCAGTCGTGGAGAAGCACTACCTAAACCAGGGCAGTGACACGTCACCAGTTTGGAATTTTTGCGCTCCTTTCTCAGACGTCATTTCTTGGTGAAACCAGCAGTGGTGTCGCCAAATGTCGGCATTTTTTCTAAGGCTAAAAATTGTCAAAATTATTACAATTTGGACAGAACGCGCGTGAATTGGACAGATTTAGAGTCACGTTCACGGCAAAAGGGGGAAAGGTGAGATGTAGGTTGAGAATTTTCCAAATTTAGGAAATAAACAATTAAAAACTGTTCAAAATACATCTGATCGATCAACATAAGCAGAAACAATTAGTTCCCGTGTAGAAATAATAAATAGCAAACAACAACTATAAATCAAAGGGAAAAGGTGGTCACGTGGTACAATTTTACGTTTGCCGTAAACGTGATTTTAAACCTCTCTATTATTTCCAAAATTGCACTTGTCACCAATACATATACTATTTCTGTCTTTGGTGGGTGTTAGGATCGTCCGGATCGAGCACTGTACCAGCCGCCAAGAAAAGGTCAGTTGGGAGCTGAACCACGATCAACAGCAAATTTTGCCGGAAAGGAGAAAGAAAAGAAGGAAAAGGAGATCACGTCCTCGGCTACTGGTATTGGCGAAAAGAAACCACAAATAGGAGAATCTTCTAAGGAAAGTGGGAAGGATGAAATGGAAAATAGTCGCTATCAACGGGTACAACGAGTGCGTAACAAGGTTAGTGATTTTGTTAGAAATAGTTATGGTGATTCCTGAGAAGCATGAGTCCCAGTCCAGAACCAATGAGTCCCATTTTGAAAAACACCGAGTCCAAAGTTCAAAGTACTTGGACCTTTTATGTATCCAGACAGTTAATCTGAAAGCAGAAACTAAAACTTTTTGTCATATAGACACCGATGAAATACCAGGATTTTTTCAGTCACGAAAATTTGGTATCCGGTGAAGATACAATTTTTATCCTTCACATGTGAAGATATCACGGTTGTCATGGCTACTTCGATTCGGTCTCAGCCCATAGGAAAAGAGCATCACAGCATCTCACCATCGGTGTCTATATAATAAACAGAATATTACATGCCTGCTTGTAGATACGAATTTTATCTAGCACTCGTGAGATATCGAGTTAAACACGAGAAGATAAAATTCGTATCCACGTGCGGGCATGAAATTTCCGCTATATATAATTATTACAATTGGGCAAAAACGCGCGTGAATTGGAGAGATTTAGGGTCACGTTCACGGCAAAAGGCTAGGGGAAAAGGTGAGATGCTGGTTGAGAACTTTCCAAAATTAGGAAATAAACAGCTAAAAACTGTTCAAAATACATCTGATCGATCAACATGACCAGAAACAAGTAATTCCATGTAGAAATAATAAATACCAAACACCAAGTATAAATCAAGGGAAAAAGTTGGTCACGTGGTACAATTTTACGTTTGCCGTAAACGTGATTTTAAACCTCTCTATTATTTCCAAAATTGCACTCATCCCCAATTGATTACATATACTGTTTCTGTCTTTGGTGGGTTTTAGGATCGTCCCGATCGTGCACAGTACCAGCCGCCAAGAAAAGGTCATTTGGGAGCTGACCCACGATCAACAAGGGACACTATTGCATCGGGTACGTTCTTTAGCCGTTCAGTCTCAGATTGAGTGATAAGGTCTGGGATGGTGTGTTTAACTTTAAACCTGAGTCTGTGGTTAAACGCCTATGATGTTACCATTCAAGTGAAACTTCTTCAGCAGTAGTTTCGTATGTTACTATTTATTTTGTACGTAGTTCTAACTTTTGTGTTTGTGGATACACTTCTATGATATTACTAACCAAATGAAACCTCTTAAGCCGTACTTTCACGTGGGGGAAAATTAAAGGCCCTACGACTTTACGTTTGGAAATCCCCTGGTACGTGATGCACGGAAAGCGTGTTAAAACGATAGTTTGGGACTACGATTACTCTTCGTTTTTAATTTTGTTTTGCTATGAAAATACATCACCCTTCCTGATCTGACTACCACTGAACAAAAAGATAATTTACTACCCCAAAAAAGCAAGACCACACAAGACTGTTTTACAACTGCAATATGCATGCTGTCGTTTCAATTTTTCTTTTTCGTTAATTATTATTCTTAGAAAAAGATAAAAGCAAAGACGTCAAGAGGAAGGAAAAGAATCGGGAACGCAATCAGACAAGGATGACTCGCGATGATAAACCACGTGATAAGGATCGTTACAGGTACCGTGACGACCACAGTGAGCGTGACAGAGATGATCGTGGCCGTACGCAAGATAAGGCACGCGACTGTGACCAAGGCAGTGACAGATCGCGTGACACTGAAGCATCAAAAGAAGAAGATAAGAGTAAAGACAAAAGAGGCCATGACAATGAGACAAAAAATGCAATCGAACACAGATTCAGACGTTTAAGCAGTAATTCTGCAGAACAAAATAATTTTCCTTCCTTGTAATTTATATGCACAATTCTGAGGTGCATAATGAAAAGTTAAAAAAAAATACTGTGTTTTTTATAAGGAACCAGAAGTTTTACTGAAAGCCTCATGTGTAAATAAAGCCATTCAAGTTGTGTCGAATAAACTTTTGTAAAATTCTATTTCTGCTTGTTTTTAACCACGATTAGTTTAGTGGCTCAGTTTTAACGAATTTATTTATCCATTTGTTGATGGTGAAAATAACTTTAAATCATAAAATTAATGTTTTTATTGTTGATTACCTTAACCCAAAATGATGAGAATGTTTAGTTTAGTATTGTAATCCTTTGATCTCTTGCTTTATTTTTTAATTAGCAAAAAAGTGACTAACATAATATGCAAAACAGTGAAAGGTTTGAACACAGCGTAGGTTGAGCAATACGTTGAGCATGATTGTCGGAGCAAGTGTAGTCCTGAATAGAGTACTATTAAAAGTGTGACGTCATACAAATGAAATTTCTGAAATTATGGGATTTGCCAGGATATTCTGAAAGAACAATATCCAAGAGGCCTACTTGCCAAAAATGAGCATTTTGGGGCAAATTGTCTCTGAGATCGTAGCCCAGTTATCTTTAGAAAACTCCATACAAACCCTTGTAAATTTTTTTGGGGTCGACCCAAAGAAAATTTAGGCGTCCAGACAGTGGGGAGCGGTGGGAAGTACAAAAAGAGATGAAAAGTAGAGGGGGAACTAGCGCTCGTTTTTACTTCACACCGCTCCCCACTATCTGAACGCCTGCGGGACAAGGCTAAGAATAGGGTGTCATTTTCCAAAACTGATCCATTGCTTGAAGATTTTAGTCTAGACAAGAGAAACCAGGAATTGCTACTCAAAACATGTAAAAAAAACAAGTCGGCAAGTTTAAATTTACCCAATTCAGCCCAAAAGCTATTCTAGGATAGGAGATTTGGTAATGATATGGTGGCCTTTTTCTACAAGTTAAGTGGCAGGAAATGAGTGTGTAGCCATACCACAATATGGACCCACTTCCCCGTAAAAGATAAGAAGGGTAACTATTACATCATATTTTATCTGGCCGGCTGAAACATTTCTTATAAAGCAAATCAATGACTTCATACTTTTAATATCGTCTCATTTCGTTTTATTCATTTTACTTCGTTAAAATAAGGTTTGTTTGGGGAATAACTGAATGTTATCCAAATCAGTGGAAGACTTAAAAGTCAAAGTACAGTAAGAAGATATCTTTCAAATCATGTTGCAAGTTGAAAAATGCTCTAGGCAGAAAAACAAAAGGTAAATGATCTGAAAATACACTTTAAAGTTCTCTTTGACATGAGTTCAATCATAGTTAGTAGTGGAGACTGGTTTATGTTGGAAGCTCTCTGACCGTGAACAAGCCAATGTTCTTTGTTCACAAATGGTGGCTGAATAAATTAATGAGATGATTTTATTGGTCTGTAAATTCAAAATGATAAGATTACTATTGAACGTTGTGCACAATCAGGCCCAAAAAGCTAACAAAAAAAATATAACAAAAGAGTCTAACGGGTTTTATAACCATTCCACTTTAATAACTATGGTTCAACGCAATGGCACTAAGTGAAACATGATGCATAACACAATTTCAGTTCGTTATATCATGAAAAAAGGGATTCATGCTTTTACAGGCAGGAGAGCGGCAAGGGAAAAAAGAAATGCTGCAATAATCTGGGGGTATAAGTAAGATTAAAACATTGGATCAGTGGAATAGTATTTAAGTGAAATGTTGGACTCAGTTTGAGTGTGCGTATTGGACAACCCTCCGGACACGTGCAAAAAGGTTCTGGGGTCCAGATATATGCGCGAGGTGAGTTGCGTGCGCCATCAAAAACATGCGTCTATGACGTTAGCTTTTAATTCTGCAACAATTCATGAAGGATGAAGTGGAAAACGTTATTTTCACTGGTGCTTCTTGCCCTAGTATTGTTGAAAATCAAAATTTGTAACGGTAAGAGTGGCCCTCCCTTTGTGGACTTCACTTAATTGTGTTCTGAATGTGCAAATGTCGTTTGTTGGTATTTTGAATGCGTTTATTTTGTGCATTCTTTTTTCCTTGAATTAAGCTACCACAGCATCGTCTATTGGATGGCGAATTTGAAAAATATTTCTTTGTTCAAGCGCAAAAATTGCACAGCATATGCACAAAAATTATTCCGCACTATCTTACCCCTTGCAAAAATTTTCAGCAGGAACAAAGTCCGTTTCTGCGGCGAAAGACAATGAAGAGTCAGTAACAACCGGCAAAGAACGAGGGAACGTCTATCCCGGAAATGAGAATAACATCTTTACCATGCGCAAGCTTGCTATGCGAAGATTGGCCAAAAGGCATAAAACTGGTGTTTTAACTCGTACTGGAATAAGACCTTCAGCTTCGTCAACATTCGAGCGAGTGCGACCACCATTTGCTACAGGCAAGAAATATTTTTAAATGTATCTGGTAACTACCTAGAACAGTTTTTCATATTTCGTTTCCAACTTTCCCAAAGCAGTAACTTTTAGACTGAAATGCTTGGGTTTTGATGTTGACTGGCTATTGTTTTATCCTTATAGTTGTTATTTCGAGAATTTTTCTCTTGAGGGGAGAATAATAGACCTTTAAAAGACAAAAGAAAGTTTACTTTAATTTGTAACCACCATTTTAGGTTTTAATGCACCGGCTAGACGTTAATATCGAGACCAAAAAAAATGCCCCGGCCGGTTGTTCAAAAGATGGATAGCGCTTTCCGTTAGATAAAACTATAACAAAGGGATAACGCAACTGGTTTTCGTACAACTTATATTCACTGGATAACGATTTTTCCGGTAGATATAGTGCTATCTACTTTTTGAGTAGCTGCGGACTGAATGGGAACGTTTATCATACCGGTTTGTGTGTTAAAGCGACCTCATATCAGGGCAGGATATCAAAAGCACCTCTTGATGAGTGTTATCCAGAACCAAAACGCTAAGAGGTGGCTTATTTTTTCCCTTGTTAACATGACATCTGCCTTTTTATCCTTCCAGAAGTACCAATCCAGAGAAAAGTTAAACTACCGGTGATCTTAACACCCTTACCGACACCAGACGAGGACAGGTTCTTTTCGAAGACCAATGGAGAAGGTGCTGGCCATGGTTCATCAAAATTCAATACTCAAGCTAAAGAGAAAAGCGATACAAACCACGATCATTCAGAGCATGCGCAAGATATTCCTAAACCCCGAATAACAGAGCAGGACCGCCCAAAACAAGGTGGCACCAACTCAAAGGCGCATCAGCACAAAGCAAGCGCGCATTACGAGATGCCATCCTCAGGCCTTCGTTGGACTGTGTACCATCTCAGGACTGGGGACCAAAACGAAAACAAAAAACGTTACAAGAAAAGAAAGAAAAGAGCCGCACCTCAGCAAATTGACGACGATAGGGAGGAGCCTGTTACTGATGAGGACGATGGAGAAAAACAGTCAAGATCTTCTGTCAATTTTGCATTGGTTGGTGCTGGTATAGTGGTGTTCCTGTTCATATTTGCTGGACTGGCTTGTCTGTGGTATGTTGCTTTGATTTTCCAATGAAAGAGACTTTCCTCGTTTGTGTGATCGATATAATCTTAGGTTCTTTATGAAGTTTACTTAGTCGTGGCTGAATTGCCAATGTTTAATAAGAATGTTTTAAGACAGGAACCGATGATAGTTGACACTGTTTAGTGATTGCTTTTCAGAAACTCACCATGAACTTATAACTAATTTTTTTTACATTCCGTTTACATAAAGGTAGAGCCGACTATAAATTGGCAAGCCTTGCAAACAACAAGAAAGCAAATCATGTAGCTAGTAGTTTTGTTTAACACGTCTTCATTGGCGGACATATTACTAGGTTTGCGTTACGATAAACTAACTTGTATATCGAGGATCGTACGTACTTTTTATGCTCCAGCAGGATTTGTAATACCTTTCCGCCCCAATTCCTTCACAAGATGTTATTTCCGAGTGATAGATATTGAGTCACGGAACTTTTGTCAGTTAAAGCTGTTTTACATAAATTAAAAGCCGTCTAAAAAAGTAAACATCTATCAGAGTTTTGAGTTAATATTGGTTGCAAAAAGAAAAAAATATATGTGAAACTATATTTTTTTTCTTTTTCACAACTAATATTAACTCAAAACTCTGATAGATACATACTTTTTTAGACGGCTTTTATGAATAGAATATTTTATTAGGTATTAACCTTTGATAAAATATTCTAGTTTAAAACTATAGTAAGGAATCAAAGAAGCTGGGGAAGCAAGCAGTGCCAATTCAGATTTAAATAAGTTCATTGAGACTTGCATTCACGCAAATTCACGAGTAATTTTTTTTCCAAACGAAATTCGCCCATATAGCCAAAACGTTTTTTGGTTTTGGTAAGAAGCAGTTGAAATCTACAAGAAGAGCCCCTTGTATCATAGGTGGACCCCATTTTCAAACATTTTTGTTATAATTGCTCAGGTTCCATATTGTTGTACACCTTGAACATTTCTATCTATTTAATTCTGCGTATAGTGAGCTCGTCCCATCCAAGCTCTTGGAGCAGGGGGCAGATAGAATCATAACTGAGAAAGGTTATGATCCTAGCTACGCGGTTTTGTAGTTTTTGAAGCTTCAGAGAAAATTCTGAATCTAGCCCCTCCCAAACAACGCTGTAATAGTCAAGGTACGGTCGGATAACTTGAGAGTTATACTTTGTTTCGAGGGTCGACGGAGGAACAAATTGTCTCGCACACTTAAGCGCTCCGATTGCGCTGATTAATTCTCTATATGTGGTGCCCATGTAAGCACCTCGTCAAAGCAACATGTAGACTAACGGATTTGGTAGATCTTGCTTTACAGAAATCGGTGGATGTTTGATTCTTTCTAGTCTCACTGTCCACTCAATCAGTTTGTTAGAAGTCTTTCGGCTGCTCTCCTGCCCCTCACCACCGTTCACAATTATAGCACTTTTGCTCTTTAATTTCACTTGCAGGAGAACGTGTAAGAAAAGATGCTTACGGAGAAAACACCCTGACCTGACTAGCTCCAGCGAGCGGCTTAGCCAGGAAGAGAAAATAAACTGCGGGACGCGGACATCAAGGGACTCTGATAGTCATCAACCCAAACCAAATCCGTCATCTTACCAACTTGCAGCCACACACTTTGATGCCCAATCACCGTGGACCGTAACAGACACTCCCTCTTTGATGGCAGTTTCTCCTATGGAAAACACTTACGTGGTGGTCGATATTCCTGACTCAAATCTAGCTTCTGAAAGACATACTGCTTGCTCCATTGTTGATCTCTCTGAATCCAGTCCAGTTTGTGTGGTTGTTGATGCTCCTCAAGCCGACTCCCACGAGGTTGTTAATGTACCTGACATGAGCTCTCCGGACACCTCTTTTACCTGTTCTTCCTTATCTAATGTGTTTTCGTGGTTTCCTTCATCATCTTTGACGTCCGTTTCCTCACTTGATATAACTTCAGCAGAACCGGAAGCCTCATCTCTGTTTCCAGAACCTGTAGTCCAGTGCTCCTCACTAACACCTATTTCTAGAAAAACCCTAAAGGCAGAAACTGAACTCAACGACGACCAAATAATCTCGTCAACCGTTGAACCGGAAATAGTTATCGATGTGCTACCATCTGAGCCTCCGATTCCACTGACCATCGAACCAGAGTCGTCTTTACCCTCGGTGGAAAAACAGGCACTCCTGGAATCATGTCTCTTGATTCATCCGGCCTCGCCCAAGCAATCATCCCTCTTCAGTTTATCTGCTTCCACCTCTGACGAAGCAACACGAATACTTGCCTTGGAAACAGAAAATGTTGACTCATCCCAACTCTCTTGCAAAACTCCTCTGGCAGTGACAGGTGATGTAATGTTGACTATTCAAGACGAAGGTGAAGTCTTTCTTCGCGCATGCAAGACATCAGGAGCTGAAACTACAATGATGACCCGGAATAGTGAGAATGAAAAACACGTTATACGGAACGTGGAAAGTCGCAGTCCTGCAAGTGACATATCTGGCGTGTCTACAAAAACCTTTGTGGAAGATTCCGATGTGAAAGGTAATGTTAAGGATAGTTGTGCAGCAAAGGCTGAAAACGGCAATGATGTCTTGACATTGATTAAAAAAGTTGTTGTTATTGACACTTCAGGAGCGACAGGTTTGGCTGAAAATCCTGAGATTGAAAAGGAGAGTGAAATCTATGACGTCACCATCCAGGAAAAGGATGACGTCATGGTAATTGGAAACGGCACAATCGAGTTTTCTGGCCTGACGTGCGGCAATAAAGAATTTCTAACGATGACCGGTGGTGAGTCTTTTAACCCTAATGTCTAACTTCATACTCTCATTTGTTGTCTTTATCACATTTTCAATAGAAGAAGTGGAGACAATTTGTTGATTCAGAAATATCAAGTCGATTCACTTTCTCTGATCATGTTGTCAAATCTCATGATCATTGATATTGTAAGGAGAAATTTCAAGCTGATCACTCTTAGGGTTTAAAGTATTAATGGTCAAATTTCTTTTTCTAGTAAAAATACATGACATTTACACACAAAAAAATCTGCACTTAAATCGGTAGCGAGGGCGACCTTTGTTCTTTCTTTTGCGTCTCTTGAAATGGAAACGAGGTTGTCTCACGCTGTAATCACTTTCCTTGTCAGAAAGGAACTTAACCAATATTAGTGTGTTTAACGGCGTGCGGAATGAAGGCAACAATAATATTCGCAGTTTTACCTGATACAAGCTTTCAGCTATTTCAACATCGCTCTAGGGACGAAGTCTAGGTATTCTGAACCTGGGGCGAGCGAGAAAATGAACCGCGTGAAGACTGAAAAGAGAAGCTTCTTCCGTTTCTTATTATTGATTCGCGGGTTTACTTACTGTTACCAAAAATTCAGATTCGCTCATTTTGTTGTTCCACTCAAATTTTTATCCTCTTCAATCTTTTAGGAACTCCTTCAACAGTTGCTCGGTCCTTGGAAGAAAACGGCACTGCGGAAGCGAATAGTTCTTTATCTGCTTCAGATAGCGAAAGTACAGCGAAATTGATGGTGGGTATTTATTCAAGAAATCATTTATTCTTTCTTTAATGCCAATAACATAAATTTCAATAAAAAAATAATCGAAATTTTTTTTAATCGACGCGAGCTTCTTTAAAAAGTAGGGTCCTACAGTTTTAAGCTTTATTTTCTCAAAAACATTAACCAGTAATGAAATAGGATATAAATATTATTAAACATTGTACTATCTATCTATCAGTCTCATTGGCTAATAGACTTTCAAAAGAGTCCTTCGTCGGATTTCAAATGGCGCGGGACGAAGCACTTTTCATACTTGATTGGCGCCAATTTTATCGACCCAAAAACGGCTCGCTCCGCTCGTCAAGAGGTCGACTTGTAGCAAGTCTAATTGGCTAAGAGCCTACAGCTATTTTGGTAATCAGCGCAACTTACAGATAACTTAGTTACCTGCTAGATAACTGACTAATTTGTAAGTTTCGCGTACAATGTATGATTTCCAATAACAGTATCATGCCATTCAGGTTCCTAATGCGACGGTATGTTTATCGTTATTTTTTTCAAAACAATTTATAACAAAACAATTATAAGATTCAGGTTTTTTGATATCCGGAATAATCAAGTGTTATAAGAATCGGCCTTCGGCTCGGCGGATAAAAACTGTTGAAAAATAAATCTGATCGATGAAGATACAACCAGAAACTAATTGCCATGTAGAAATAATAAATAGCAAACGGCAAGTATAAATCAAAGGGAAAAGTTGGCCACGTGGCACAATTGCAGGTTTGTCGTTTGCCTTGAACGCGATTTTAAACCACTCTATTATTTCCTAATGTCACTCATCACCAATTGATTAGCTATAATATTTCTATCTTTAATGGGTTTTAGGATCGTCCCGATGCAGAAGTTTATGAAGTAAAACAAGATCCTTGGGAAGCTGACTTACGGTCATCGACAAATATTGCCGGAAAGGAGAATGAAAGGAGAGAAAAGGAGATCACGTCCTCGGTTACTGGTACTGGCGAAAAGAAACCACAAGTAGGAGAATCTTCTAAGGAAAGTGGAAAGGATGAGAAGAGAAGAAGTGATCAACGAAGACTGCGTAACAAGGTTAGTGATTTTGTTAACCAGAAACAACTAATTCCCATGTAGAAATAATAAATAGCAAACACCAAGTATATATCCAATGGCAAAGTTGGTGACGTGGTACAATTTCACGTTTGCTGTAAACGCGATTTTAAACCTCTCTATTATTTTAAAAACTTCACTCGCCACCAGTTGATTAGATATACTATTTCTGTATTTGGTGGGTTTTAGGATCGTCCGGATCGAGCACTGTACCAGCCGCCAAGAAAAGGTCATTCGGGAGCTGACCCACGATCAACAGCAAATTTTGCCGGAAAGGAGAAAGAAAAGAAGGAAAAGGAGATCACGTCCTCGGTTACTGGTACTGGCGAAAAGAAACCACAAATAGGAGAATCTTCTAAGGAAAGTGGAAAGGATGAAATGGAAAATAGTCACTATCAACGATTACAACGAGTGCGGAACAAGGTTAGTGATTTTGTTAGAAATAGTTATGGTGATTCCTGTGATGAGTCCCTGTCGAGAACCAATGAGTCCCAGTTTAAAAAACAACGAGTCCAAAGTTCAAATTGCTTGGACCTTTCATGTATCCAGACAGTTTATCTGAAAGCAGAATCTAAAACTTTTTGTTATATAGACACCGATGAAATACCAGGATTTTTCCAGTCTCGAAAATTTGGTATCCGGTGAAGACCCAATTTTTATCCTTCACATGTGAAGATATTACGGTTGTCATGGTTACGTCAGTCTCAGCCCATAGGAAAAGAGCATCACAGCATCTCACCATCGTTGTCTATATAATAAACAGAATATTACATGCCCGCTTGTGGATATGTATTTTATCTAGCACTCGTGAGATATCAAGTTGAACACGAGAAGATAAAATTCGTATCCACGTGCGGGCATGTAATATCCTCTATTTCTTTGCCCGACCCTCAACTCCAGAACAGTCCTACCTTTAGAGTTTTGCGTACTCCATTTCTCCTTCTATATCAATGGAGAACTAACGAAAGGAGACTCTACTCACAGGGTGCCCAATTTTCTAAATAACATCTTTCCACAAGGCTGCAAAACTTAATTGTAGGGCTCAAGTAGTGCTAATACGGAGTCACAAGTTAAATGTTCAACACTCGAATGAAGATCACTAGTCGCATGCAATTTGTCTGGACTAAGAAAACAGCCGACATGTCAGGACGTTGTTTCTCCAAGAACTGACGTCTGCGAAACGAGCACAGGAATTATATACCTATGGCGTGTCACTACTCAGATTTGGGCGGTGTTTCTGACTGGTCTTGCCGTGTGGGAAATTCTGACTGGTCTTGCCAATCGTGGAGAAGTACTACCTAAACCAGGGCAGTGACACGTCACGTGATATTAAAGCTGTCTATTATTTCCAAAATTTCACTCGTCCCCAATTGATTACATATACTATTTCTGTCTTTGGTGGCCTTTAGGATCGTCCGGATCGAGCACTGTACCAGCCGCCAAGAAAAGGTCATTTGGGAGCTGAACCACGATCAACGGCAAATTTTGCCGGAAAGGAGAAAGAAAAGAACGAAAAGGAGATCACGTCCTCGGTTACTGGTACTGGCGAAAAGAAACCACAAATAGGAGAATCTTCTAAGGAAAGTGGAAAAGATGAAAAGGAAAATAGTCACTATCAACGGGTACAACGAGTGCGTAACAAGGTTAGTGATTTTGTTAGAAATAGCTATGGTGATTCCTGTGAAGCATGAGTCCCTGTCCAGAACCAATGAGTCCCATTTTGAAAAACACCGAGTCCAAAGTTCAAAGTACTTGGACCTTTTATGTATCCAGACAGTTAATCTGAAAGCAGAAACTAAAACTTTTGGTTATATAGACACCGATGAAATACCAGGATTTTTTCAGTCACGGAAATTTGGTATCCGGTGAAGATACAATTTTTATCCTTCACATGTGAAGATATCACGGTTGTCATGGCTACTTCGATTCCGTCTCAGCCCATAGGAAAAGAGCATCACAGCATCTCACCATCGGTGTCTATATAATAAACAGAATATTACATGCCTGCTTGTAGATACGAATTTTATCTAGCACTCGTGAGATATCGAGTTAAACACGAGAAGATAAAATTCGTATCCTTGTGGGTATGTAATATCCGCTATATATAATTATTACAATTTTGAAAAAACGCGCGTGAATTGTAGAGATTTAGGGTCACGTTCACGGCAAAAGGCTAGGGGAAAAGGTGAGATGCAGGTTGAGAACTTTCCAAATTTAAGAAATAAACCGTTAAAAAGTGTTCAAAATACATCTGTTCGATCAACATAAGCAGAAACAACAAATTCCCATGTAGAAATAATAAACAGCAAACACCAAGCATAAATCAAAGGGAAAAGTTGGTCACGCGGTACAATTTTACGTTTGCCGTAAACGTGATTTTAAACCTCTCTATTATTTCCAAAATTGCACTCGTCACCAATTGATTACATATACTGTTTCTGTCTTTGGTGGGTTTTAGGATCGTCCCGATCGTGTACTGTACCAGCCGCCAAGAAAAGGTCATTTGGGAGCTGACCCACGATCAAAAAGGGACACTATTGCATCGGGTACGTTCTTTAGCCGTTCAGTCTCAGATTGAGTGATAAGGTCTGGGATGGTGTGTTTAACTTTAATTCTGAGTCTGTGGTTAAACGCCTATGATGTTACCATGCAAGTGAAACTTCTTCAGCCGTACTTTCGCATGTTGCTATTTAGTTTGTATGTAGTTCTAACTTTTGTGTTTGTGGAAACACTTCTATGATGTTACTAATCAAATGAAACCTCTATAAGCCGTACTTTCAAGTGGGGGAAAATTAAAGTCTACGACTTTACGTTTGGAAATCCCCTGATACGTGATACACAGAAAGCGTGTTAAAACGATAGTTTCGGAACTAGCTACGATTACTCTATGTTTTTAATTTTGTTTTGCTATGAAAATACATCACCCTTCCTCATCTGACTACGACTTAACAAAAAGATAATTTACTACCCCAAAAAACCAAGACTACACAAGACTGTTTTACAACTGCAATATGCTGTCGTTTCAATTTTTGCTTTTTCGTTAATTATTATTCTTAGAAAAAGATAAAAGCAAAGATGTCAAGACGAAGGAAAAGAATCGGAAGCCCGAACGCAATCAGACAAGGAAGACTCGCGATGATAAACCACGTGATAAGGATCGTTACAGATATCGTGACGACTATAGAGAACGTGACAGAGATAGAAGTGATCGTGGCCGTACGCAAGATAAGGCACGCGACTGTGACCAAGGCAGTGACAGATCGCGTGACACTGAAGCATCAAAAGAAGAAGATAAGAGTAAAGACAAAAGAGGCCATGACAATGAGACAAAAAATGCAATCGAACACAGATTCAGACGTTTTAGCAGTAATTCTGCAGAACAAAATAATTTTCCTTCCTTGTAATTTATATGCACAATTCTGAGGTGCATAATGAAAAGTTAAAAAAAAAATACTGTGTTTTTTCCAGGCAACCAGAAGTTTTATTGAAAGCCTCATGTGTAAATAAAGCCATTCAAGTTGTGTGGAATAAACTTTTGTAAAATTCTATTTCTGCTTGTTTTTTTCCTCGATTAGTTTAGTGGCTCAGTTTTAACGAATCTTTTTATCCATTTACTGATGGTGAAAATGACTTTAAATCATAAAATTAATGTTTTTATCATTGATTACCTTAACCCAAAATGATGAGAATGTTTAGGTTAGTGTTGTAATCCTTTGATCTCTTGCTTTATTTTTTAATTAGCAAAAAAGTGACTAACATAATATGCAAAACAGTGAAAGGTTTGAACACAGCGTAGGTTGAGCAATACGTTGAGCACGATTGTCGGGGCAGGTGTAGTCCTGAATAGAGTACTAAAGTGTGACGTCATACAAATGAAATTTCTGAAATTATGGGATTTGTCAGGATATTCTGAAAGAACAATGTCCAAGATGCCTACTTGCCAAAAATGTGCATTTCGGGGCAAATTGTCTCTGAGATCGTAGCCCAGGTATCCTTAGAAAACTCCATACAAACCCTTCTAAATTTTTTTGTGGTCGACCCAAAGAAAATTTAGGCGTCCAGACAGTGGGGAGCGGTGGGAAGTACAAAAAGAGATGAAAAGTAGAGGGGGAACTAGCGCTCGTTTTTACTTCACACCGCTCCTCGCTATCTGAACGCCTGCGGGACCAGGCTAAGAATAGGGTGTCATTTTCCAAAACTGATCCATTGCTTGAAGATTTTAGTCTAGACAAGAGAAACCAGGAACTGCTACTCAAAACATGTAAAAAAACAAGTCGGCAAGTTTAAATTTACCCAATTCAACCCAAAAGCTATTCTAGGATAGGGGATTTGGGAAGTTTAGTCTAGTGTAGGGTAGAAAATTCAGCTGAACTAGCTGTGGTATAGGGTAAGGGCACATTCCCACCCCAAATTTCCTATAGTACCCCACCAGGATTGTTATTGACAGAGATTGACATTTGCACAACCTGTTTAGTAGTCTTCTTCAGAGTTGCATCACATCAGTTGATGGTATTAAATTCTGGTTAATGAACTGATTAGTCAATTAAGTCCGATTATTGGTCATCTGTCAGTTAAGCAGTGATGTTATCCCATGATACAAAATATAACTTTGGAGTGAACTGATTCTTCGGACTAGAGACCAACGGACCATATTATGCTTTTGCAGCACCCTCCCCCTCTAGGGATTGAAATGGAGGCCCCTCCCCACTCCATGGCAAGTTAGCTCAGGGACTGAGCTTGACGATGAGGCCAACCAGGACAGCAAGCCCTAATATGTAAATTCTCACCACAGTGACCAGAAACCTGGCTTTCGCCAGGTTCCGGTGCGAATATTCTTGGCCTTTTTGAGGTCTTGAGGCACGTTTTCAAAAATTCGGCTAGATTTATAGATATTAGAACAAATTAAGGGGCCCAGACTGTGTACATGTATGTCGAGAATGCGCCGACATTTGCAAAATTTCATAATTTATTTTATTCTTCCCAAAAGACCCTTTTGGTGAACGTTTTTTTTAAAAATAGAAATAAAAAGTTCCATCGCGCTTTGCTTTTTCCAAAAAATCCACAAGTTAAAAATACGCTGAGGTGCCCCCGACCCTCCGGAAAAAAAAATTTCAAATACTTTGGCTAATTCATCGAGTGGACTGCTAGTTGATATTACATAATGCACTCTCGCTGACCAGTACAAACTGCTGTCTCAATGCGGCAGTGCATTCTGGGGCCACACTGTTTGCGCGGGAAGGTCAGGAAGAGGAGCGACAGCTCGCCGGACAGGTATGTGTTGGTAGTTATTCGTCTTCGTTTTCGCCAGTCCTTTCGTTAAAGTATTGCCATATTATAGTTGAAAACAGAATTTTTATTTAATTACTTATACAAGTCTGTTGCGTGTAAGTATTTCAAGCCAACGGCGAGCAGTCTGCCTCGCGAAGTCTGTTCTTACAACCATAAACATTGTATCATGTTTCTGCCTAAACGTGAAGGCGAGAGCTGCTGTTCTTTATTATTAATCCTTATAACAAACATTGGGCTTAACGTTATTTCTGTCCAAACGTTTGATTGTCTTGTGTTCAAATTCACGTCACTGCATTTACAGTTGTTGCTGCGAGCGAGGAGTGCTGCACTATGGGGTGTGTTCCTTTGCGATGATCTGATTTTAGTTGTTTTACGGCTTATAGTCTTTGAATGGTCGTAATTGGACTTCATATATATTTTACGGATTGTTTTTTTTAGGGGGTCTTAGTTTTCGTAATAACAAAAACTAAGACGGGTCTTTGCTTTCGAAATTACAAAAACTAAGACCCCTAAATTTACCGTTAAATTCGACCTAAAACTCGGTGGAAAGAATGGGGCAGAAGATAATTTGACAGATTAGACCTATTTCGATTACAGTTTGACTTCATATTTCGATGGATTTGATTTTAGGGGGTCTTAGTTTTCGTAATCTCGAAAACTAAGATGCGTCTTAGGTCTTAGGTCTTAGTTTTCGAGGGTCTTAGTTTTCGTAACACCCGGATCAGGATGAGTGATCCAAGATCGCTGGGATCATGGTAGATCAAGGTTTCATTCCTTTTGGCCAATTGAAATCCGGATTTTCCATTCCATTAAGGACTAAACCAATCTAAGATTGTAATCTGAACGATCCACCTCCGCACCTATATCATGCAGATTGGTATCTCAATCTGGTTTCACATTTTTTATTCCATTTAACGAAACAGCTTTTCGATTGTAAGATCATGTTCGTTCATAGATAAACATGACGGGTCAAGGTTAGCTTGGGCAAAAGTTACTTTCACTCCTCCTTTGTTCTATTTGGCTAAAGGATTGTAGTATATTAAACTCAAGTTCCCCAGTAACTCTAAATCAACAAGGAACCAATGAACGCTTGGATTTTCTTACAGTAAAACTATAGTGTCCAATATGTATGTGTGTTTAGAACGCGCTCCTCAGTACTTGAGAATTAGTAATTGTCTTCTGAATTGTCTTGAATCAAATTCCAGATGATTTAAAGTTGACGAGTCCCAGTATGAACCACCACTAGTAAAAGAGCTATTTTTCTTTTCATTTCTCCAAGAGAAGATGCTTAATTTAGCGGAAAGATATAAAAAACAATGTGTTGAAATTGAGGAGAAGATCAGGGCAGCAGGCAGCTACTGTATGGATCAATCTTATTTCAGATTTTTGTTCTGGCTAGCAGGAAAATCCAAACAATCTGGATTGTCTAAATTCCCAAAAAAGTTTGGCTAAAAGGAATGCAACCCAAGTGAACCGATGAATCCTTGTCCAGAGTGGATTCATTAGTTCATTTGATCTACCATGATTCAAGTGATCTTGGATCACTGATCCTAATCCGGATCATCTCAAAGGAATGTACCAATGGTTTCATTGCTGGTTTGTGAGTGACGTCATGGCGGCCATGTTGGTGATGTGTAAAGGGTTAAGAACAAAAGCATTTCTCTCCTCTGGGAACTAAACCCTATGTTCATGTAAATTCTTCGAGAAAAAGTTGTATTGTATTGACCACCAACACACCACCAACATGGCCACCTTATCATGTGGTTGCAAGTCAAGAATTCTACAAGAGAAAGATTGAGCAACAATTTTTTTTCATTTTGAATATTGTTCACCAAATGGAGATTATTCAAGGCTGCTTTTTACCTTGCTTATTGCCGAAAAGCTTAAGCAAACACAATTCTGACATTTCAGGATTATGATGACTCATTGCATTAGCCCACTAAATATCTAACTTAATAAACTGCTCCATTAGTTCTGCAGTCGTTTGATTTCCACAACAAATTCTGACATCATGTGGGGGAGGAAGGGACTGCAGAAGCACAAATATATCTTGTTCTATAATTTATCTACATGTAATAAGCACTCTAGTTACTGGACATTTACTGCAGGACTGCAGGAGCACTAGTTAAATACCCACTTACTTTTCGCCTTTCAATGGCTGTGGGAGTACTCAAATTAATAACTCACTTAAATTTAAATGTTTGTCAACTACCAAATGACTGTGGGAGCAGTTTGCAAGTAATATTTCAGTGGGCCGGTTATTCTGCAATCACTATTGTTTTGCTGTAAATTCAATATTTTTCTTACGATTTACTTTCAAGTTAAGAATTTAATGTTAAAAGATTATTCTCTAAGAAATTAACCAGTTGCAGATTTGAGGAATTTTTGCTCAAGAAATGTAGCATTCAGGCTCTATCTTATTTTAAAATGGAGTTGAGAATTTGAAGTGACTTGTGCATTAACACCAAGGAGATATTTTTGCTTAAAACAGTCTGGCACCCTTGGGAAAACGTCCTAATAGAATTTTATCCATCTCCTCTGATATAGCAAACATTCTTTTGCTTTACCAATGTTTTATAGTTAGCACTTTAAGCCCAAATATCCTTATACCATACCTATTGAATTCTCCAGAGTGATCTCCAAACATTTCCTTAAAATACATGTACTGGGTTTGAGCTAGGATTTGAGAACTTCATATCAATCTGTCCCTTTGGGTTAATTTTTGAGGGACATTTTTCATTTCAGAGGGTTGCTAAACCCATGGAAAAAATTTCAAAGTGAAATGTAATATTTTAATTTTGAATGAATCTCGCATGGCTTCCTCATGAACAGCATCTTTGTGATCCTTGTTATCTTTATTCCTCTGAAGAGTTCATGTTTGGACATCTCTACAGCCTGCTAATCCAAATGAATTTGCCTGCTTCGATTTGTGACAAAAATGGAAAAACATCGCTCCATTTTCAAATGGCAGCTCTGTGTGGTCGCTTGACTGTGTCTGAAATGACCACGAATTTGCAGTTTTTCTTTCATTGCTTGTATCTGTCACTTCCTTTTTTTCATTTGCTCTCCATCGGTAGAACTAATTTCTGTATCATTTTTTAAAACCCTTGCCTCTGAGGGGCTTTGTGGAAGGCAAAAGTGTAATAACTGGACCCAAGTGTAATAAAGGTGCCATCTGTAATGACATTTTGAACCCAATTATAATAAAGATCCTATCTGTAATAACATTTGGATCCAAGAGTAATAAAGGTTGTGTTTGTAAGAGTTACCTTCCTACTCAAACTGCTAATATACCAACAACAAATTATGGCGAATAAGAGGTAAAAAGTGCATAAAATCACCTGACTTGCAGAAACCAATCCCTGCCATTTACCGGTAATTTTATCTTCATGGCTTTCATGTCACTGTCAAACTGAATTCTACACCAAGTAGTTTTGTTAGAAAAGTGCTAGCTAAACAGCACTGGCCATTGAAAAATAAGGCCATTGCCACTTAGAATTATTAACCAAAGAAAATTTGTGCTCAGTACTGCTTTACTATGCCCTTACGAGAGTGATTTTTGTTGTTATAATGTTAAAATTCTTACGTTATCTTCATTTGTTCGATCATCTATTTTTTTATTGAGCCATATATTTGTATTTAGCAATGAATTTAGCAATTAGCTGTTGCAATGAATTTTTATAAAAGCATGTTTCGTTAAGCCAGTTATGAATTTGTCAAAATTAAACCAAGAGCCATTTCTAGATTCTGTGGTATTTTTTCCCCTTCATTTTTTTCTCGTTCCGTTTGGTCACATGACCCGTGATGTCAGCCTTGTAAGTTAAGATAACCATGGACATGTCTCATATTATCTCTGTCATAACAGATGAGACCCTTATTACACTTGGGCCCAAATGTTATTACAGATAGGACCTTTTTCACGCTTGGGTTCAAAATGTTTTTATGGATAGGACTTTTATTATGCTTGGGTCCAAATGTTATTACAGATGGGACCTTTATTACACTTGGGTCCAGTTATTACACTTGTGCCTTCTACAGGCTTCCACTAGAAGTAAAAAAAACTCTCTAAAGTGTTTGAGCAAGCTTTTGTGTTGGTTCCGACATTTCTTGAAAGAAATCCACAGTCTACGTGCTTGGCAGCTTCACTCTTGGCTGAGCATTTAGGGTTTTCACTAGACTGTGACAGAAGCATGACCTAGCACAGGGAATGCTTCAAGCAAAAATTTCAGGGGAAACTTTGATAATTTAACTGCAATTTTCATCATTTGGCAGGCTTTGTTTTTCACAATTGTACTCTGCTTATGTACAATTTACTGTTAAGTACTGAAAATTTGTAATTTTTTTCAGGTCATTTTCTAAACGCTGGAAGGGACAAAATGACCCCTCCATTGTTTTCTGTTAGGACATTTTAAAGTGTTTTGGCGGTATTGGTGCAACAGCGCGGCCTGGTTCAAACCCTGAAAATATTAGGTGAGAGGTCAAATCATTTTTCTTTTGGTGATCATTTTTTATTAATTCTTATACTCCTGTAACCTTTCCTCTTGATTGTGTATTGATACTGTTAGGTGAAAATAATGTTGATGTTGGACACTTTTGGCCAATTTGGGACTTAAAGAGTTAAAGGCAGACACTTCCCTGACGGAAATGAGGTTTGGCCTCTGAACTGAACTGAACTGAAATTGTGACTGGTTGGTTTTTCTTTGTACCATCATGCCCAGCAACAAGGTCAGGTACATGTACTTCTAGCAATTAATATGCAATACAAGTCTTATAATTATGTCGGCATTTATTTTTTCCTGTTTACAGTTGTTTTGTACTGTATTGTTTTGTCATTTTTGTTTGCTAACATTATAAATGGAGCTCAAAGACACATTGTCTTTATTGCTGGTTTGCACATGATAATATCATTGACATGATAACATAGTGGTCAAGAGCAAAAGCCTTTTTTATCCAAATTCCCTGAAACAGCGTTTTATTGTACCAACAAAACTGTCTTGTAATACAGTGTGGTTGCCAACAAACAATAAGCCATGGGGTTGCAAAATTCATGCCTTGTTACAATGCCCAGAGATCATAGATCAGAGATAAAAATTTTTTGGGTAATGTCTTCAAGAATAAATTTGAAGTCTTTTGACTGTTGCCTGTTTTGAAAGAAATGACCAATTGTTTTTAGTGACTCAGAAATTCAGGATAAAGTAGGGAAGCTTGGAGTCAGTGTTGCCATGCTTATCCATTTGTGAGAGAGGATTGCAATGATTTTAAAAGTCCTTGTCATACCTTTAAAGCACCCTAAAGGCCACAGTTTTTGGCCGTTTTCATTTTCAAGAAAGAGTATGACTAAGGGACCTTTTTGTGTCTTTTATATTGATCTGTGAGCCTTATGTTACCGTCTTGATGCATGTTGAAAGAAGTCTATCACTTCCATAGAACAAAACTGTTACAGCTGATCTGTTTTTGCATGGCTCAAAATTGTGACTGATACGGTCACCAGTGCGAGTAACATTTTCTCCTTGGTGACTAAGAATTTTGGTTTAGTCGCCTCTTTGGTGACCAGAATTTCTATGATTTAGATTTATAATGTAAATTAAAAGGATAAAGTTAAAAGAAACATTTATCTTACCTTGCTTTGCTTTTGTCTTGAAAAATGTGCTAAATTGCTCATGTCCGCAATATTTTTAAACAATCGAATGTGATGGATCGTGCCATACTATGAGCTGTGTCATGTACGTTATACAAACTGGTGACTAATAATAATTTATAACTAGAGGTTCCATATTGAAAGTGAAGTGCGGCCTCATGCAGAAAGATCAAGGGGTTGGAATGGTAGTAAATAATCTATTGTATCTCAGTTTAGGGTATCTTATGTTTTCAAGGTTGTAAGATTAAAAGAGGAGTAGCGTTGCGTGACGAGACAAGAGGGAGACTACGATGTATAAAATACATAGTTATGTTGTATTTTTAAAGCTTGTTTTCATCTTCAGCTTTATCAGTATGTGTGACTATAATTCGGAACCTGCATCTTCTCAGAATTAGTTAAAAAACAAAACAAACAAACACCGAGCATAATGCAAGCAATGAATTGCCAAAGATTTTAATCAATAACAATAAGAATCAATATATCTCACTAACATTTTATCCATAAGTTTTCAAAATAAAGGCTGTATAATGAAACGTTGTATATGTTGTAGTTAATTTTTTGTCTCAGTTAATTTTGTTTTCTAACTAGTTAATTTTTTTTTTAACTGGATAGTTTTTTCCCAACTAGTGAGTTTTTTTCTAACTAGGTAAATAATAATTTGACTAGTTACATTTTTTTTGGCTGGTTGATTTTTGTTTTTGCAACAAATTATTTCTATAAAACCTGTTATTTTCTTTTTTAAGTAAATGCTCAAGGGTTTTTTTTGTTTGTTTGAGTAGGGTTAGGGTTAGCTATAAGTTTTTGATTTAAGGTTGGGGTTAGGATTAGGGTTGGCTTTCATTAAGGGTTAGGGTTAACTATAAGTTTTGGGTAAGGTTAGGGTTAGCTTCTTCATAAAAAGTGAGTTTGTAATGAGTATCTCCATGGAATAATTCACATTATCATCACATTTACCACGACGAATAACAATCTATTGCACAACATGTTCAATGTCCTTTAATATTTGTAATCACAGAGAAACTTAAGAAGTCACATTGGCTTTACTGCATTATACTACTATACATGGTGTTAATTACAACACTGACATGATGTTATTTCCGTTCTAATTGAGTTGCCTACAGCGTACATTCAATGTTGATGTGCATCAATCATTAAATACATCAATAAATATTTGAATTTACACACTAAATAAAGTTTATTGTTCTACTGCTCTATTGCCATTTTGCATGCTTTTGTGAATGTGATTTCCTTATCCTTGCTTATTTTGATATTTGTTGCTTGGCATTTAACTAATCTAGCTGGGAAAATGAGGGTGGTAATAATTCCAAATTTGCGAGCAACTTTAGGATATTCATTTTCAAATGCAATGATTTCTCCCATAAGCACATTTGGATGAAATGGCGTTTTATCTACTTGGTCAATTTTGATGCTAACAAAATCTCCAATATTAAGGGTTTGAGGCTTTTGCCTGGACTTCTTCATTTTTTCATTGTACTCAATTTGGCGTGAATTGACTTCGATTCTTGTTCTTTTCCTGCTTTCACATTCATTAGTGGGTGGGGTTTTTCGTTTTACTGGCGCATTTGTATTTGCCATCTCTGACAGCTGATCTTCTTCTTGTTCTTCTTGAGTGGGATTCAACTTCTTTTCTTTTTTGGGATCAATTCCAAAAACAAGTCGATATGGTATTTCCTTGACAGCTCTGTGGATGGTAATGTTCTTCTTGTAAGCTGCTTCTCCCAATCTTGAACACCATGTTGTGACATCAGCTTGGTTCTCTTTAAGTATGTTTGTTAAAATCTCTTTTTTATAGTCCTGTTATTTCTCCCCACAAGGCCTTGTGTTTGTGGTTTTCTCGGTGCACCATGTGCTTGTTTAATCCCATGGTTTTGGCAGAATTCATGCATTAGTTTGTTTTTAAACTCTTTACCATTATCAGTGTGCAGGGTTTGAGGAAATCCAAAAAGCCAGAATAACACTTCATCTGCCGTTTTATTGTGCAAAGCATATAACCAAGAATACTTGGTGTGGTGGTCAGTTACGTGTAGAACCCACTGATGGCTATTAGTACACGAACATTTGACGTTTTGGAAGTCGATAAGATCAATGTCTATATGGGACATAAACGTTTCAGCTGATTCTGTTTGTTATCGGTCGCTTCTTGTGGTCGGTAATGCTCTTCTGTTGGGCATGCAGTTTACACAAACTTGTAAACAAAGATACAACTTGTTGTGGTATTTCAGAATAAATACCTTTCACGTAAGTATTGGTTTTGTCTCTTCCACGGTGCGCGGTCGAAGAGTGACATTCACAGAGAACTTTGTGCAGCTTACTTTTCGGTACAACGACCTTGTTATTTGCGGTAACAATTTCTTCGCCCTTTAGAGTCCCTCCTTTCCGTTTTATAGTGCTGATATCACGCTTGGAAAGTTCGGCATGTGACTCATGTTCTTTGCCTTGTTGAAATTTCGGAAGAGTTTGCAGATAATTCTTCGCATTTTCATAAAACGAGTCGTCGATATAAACTGTAACTTTACTTTCTCCGGGCTTTAAGGATTCTAACTTTTCGTAGAAAGTTTTTTCATCAACACAAACTTCCATTTCGAAGCGAATGTTAGCGAGTTCGAAAAACCTTAATCGTGTTGAAATCTTGTTTTCTAGCCAACGCGCATGCTCGAATGTTTTCATAAATTAAATGTGGCTTGGGGTGGGACTGGGTCGAATAAGCAATAATTAATATAAATTTGGAGCGATTTGGAACAACAGCCTCTGTGCGGTAATGGGTTCATGATAACCGTCACCAATATAGAGACATTAAGTGACCAGTAAGCGCACTATGAGAATGTTGATGTAATTGCTGTAGTTACTGTAGTTGGTGTAGTAGCTGTAGTTGGTAAAGTAGCTGTAGTTGGTGTAGTTAGTGTAGTTGGTGTAGTAGCGTTGGTGTAGTTGGTGTAGTTGCTGTAGTTGGTGTAGTTAATGTAGTTGGTGTAGTTGCTGTAGTTGGTGTAGTAGCTGTAGCTGGTGTAGTTAGTGTAGTTGCTGTAGTTGGTGTAGTTGGTGTAGTAGCTGTAGTAGGAGTAGTTGGTGTAGTTGCTGTAGTTAGTGTAGTTGGTGTAGTTAGTGTAGTTGGTGTAGTTATAGTAGCTGTAGCTGGTGTAGTAGCTGTAGTTGATGTAATTGCTGTAGTTGATGTAATTGCTGTAGTTACTGTAGTTGGTGTAGTTACTGTAGTTGGTGTAGTAGCTGTAGTTGTTGTAGTTATTGTAGTTGGTGTAGTTAATGTAGTTGGTGTAGTTGATGTAGTTACTGTAGTTGCCGTAGTTGGTGTAGTAGCTGTAGTTGGTGTAGTTAGTGTAGTTGCTGTAGTTGCTGTAGTTGGTGTAGTTGGTGTAGTTGGTGTAGTTGGTGTAGTTGGTGTAGTTGGTGTAGTTAGTGTAGTTGGTGTAGTTAGTGTAGTTGGTGTAGTTAGTGTAGTAGCTGTAGTTGGTGTAGTTACTGTAGTTGGTGTAGTAGCTGTAGTTGGTGTAGTTGCTGTAGTTAGTGTAGTTAGTGTAGTTGGTGTAGTTAGTGTAGTTGGTGTAGTTGGTGTAGTTAGTGTAGTTATTGTAGTTGCTGTAGTTGGTGTAGTTGGTGTAGTTGCTGTAGTTGGTGTAGTTAGTGTAGTTGCTGTAGTTGGTGTAGTTGGTGTAGTTGCTGTAGTTGCTGTAGTTAGTGTAGTTGCTGTAGTTGGTGTAGTTGCTGTAGTTAGTGTAGTAGCTGTAGTTAGTGTAGTTGCTGTAGTTATTGTAGTTGCTGTAGTTAGTGTAGTTGGTGTAGTTAGTGTAGTAGCTGTAGTTAGTGTAGTTGGTGTAGTAGCTGTGGTTGGTGAAGTTGGTGTAGTTACTGTAGTTGCTGTAGTTGGTGTAGTAGCTGTAGTTGGTGTAGTAGCTGTAGTTAGTGTAGTTGCTGTAGTTGGTGTAGTTGCTGTAGTTGGTGTAGTTGCTGTAGTTGGTGTAGTAGCTGTAGTTGGTGTAGTAGGTGTAGTTGGTGTAGTTGCTGTAGTTGGTGTAGTAGCTGTAGTTAGTGTAGTTGCTGTAGTTAGTGTAGTTGCTGTAGTTGGTGTAGTAGCTGTAGTTGCTGTAGTTGGTGTAGTAGCTGTAGTTGATGTAGTAGCTGTAGTTGGTGTAGTTGCTGTAGTTGGTGTAGTTACTGTAGTTGGTGTAGTATATGTAGTTGGTGTAGTATGTGTAGTTGGTGTACTTATCGTAGTTGGTGTAGTTTGTGTAGTTGGTGTAGTAAATGTAGTTAGTGTAGTTAGTGTAGTTGGTGTAGTTAGTGTAGTATATATAGTTGGTGTAGTGTGTGTAGTTGGTGTAGTTGGTGTAGTATACGTAGTTGGTGTAGTATGTCTAGTTGGTGTAGTTTGTGTAGTTAGTGTAGTTGGTGTGTATGTAGTTGGTGTAGTATGTGTAGTTGGTGTAGTATATGTAGTTGGTGTAGTATGTGTAGTTGTTGTAGTATATGTAGTTGGTGTAGTTACTCTAGTTGGTGTAGTATATGAAGTTGGTTTAGTATGTGTAGTTGGTGTAGTTTGTGTGGTTGGTGTAGTTAGTGTAGTTGGTTCTAGTATGTGTAGTTGGTGTAGTTATGTAGTTAGTGTAGTTGCTGTAGTTGGTGTAGCTGGTGTAGTGTGTGTAGTTGGTGTAGTATATGTAGTTGGTGTAGTATGTGTAGTTGGTCTACTTTGTGTAGTTGGTGTAGTATATGTAGTTAGTGTAGTATGTGTAGTTGGTGTAGTTTGCATATATAGTTGGTGTAGTTATAGTTGGTGTAGTTACTGTAGTTAGTGTAGTATGTGTAGTTAGTGTAGTTGGTGTAGTATATTTAGTTGGTGTAGTATGTTTAGTTAGTGTAATTGGTGTAGTTGGTGTAGTTAGTATACTATATGTAGTAATAGTAATAAATTGCTTTATTTGCATGACCGCATCACTTTACAGTATTGCAAAAGCATGTATATGACAATCAAAATAAAAAACAAAACAGCACTAATAACAATCTAAAAAATTCGGCTACATTACTAACAATGAATCACGTATTTTCATGCAGGAGGAGACAAACTTCATAACTAACTTATTTACATGATGTTCCTTCGAATTCATTATCAGTTTTATGCTTTCCAGAGATGATTTCTTGTCAAAGTCAGGTATTATTAGTAGTTGATGTAGTATATGTAGTTGGTGTAGTATATGTAGTTGGTGTAGTATATGTAGTTGGTGTAGTATATGTAGTTGGTGTAGTATGTGTAGTTTGTGTAGTCAGTGTAGTTACTGTAGTTGATGTAGTATATGTAGTTGGTGTAGTTGTAGTTGATGTAGTAGGTGTAGTTGGTGTAGTTAGTGAAGTTGGTGTAGTATATGTAGTTGGTGTAGTTAGTGTAGTTTGTATACTATATGTAGTTGATGTAGTATATGTAGTTGGTGTAGTATATGTAGTTGGTGTAGTTTGTGTAGTTGGTGTAGTATATGTAGTTGGTGTAGTATGTGTAGTTTGTGTAGTTAGTGTAGTTACTGTAGTTGATGTAGTATATGTAGTTGGTGTAGTTGTAGTTGATGTAGTAGGTGTAGTTGGTGTAGTTAGTGAAGTTGGTGTAGTATATGTAGTTGGTGTAGTTAGTGTAGTTCGTGTAGTATATGTAGTTGGTGTAGTATGTGTAGTTGGTGTAGTTTGCATTTATAGTTGTGAAGTTGGTGTAGTATATGTAGTTGGTGTAGTTGGTGTAGTTGGTGTAGTTAGTGTAGTTAGTGTAGTATGTGTAGTTGGTGTAGTTGGTGTAGTATATGTAGTTGGTGTAGTATGTGTAGCTAGTGTAATTGGTGTAGTTGGTGTAGTTAGTATACTATATGTAGTTGATGTAGTATATGTAGTTGGTGTAGTATGTGTAGTTGGTGTAGTTTGCGTAGTTGGTGTAGTTAGTGTAGTTGGTGTAGTATGTGTAGTTGGTGTAGTTAGTGTAGTTGGTGTAGTAGCTGTAGTTGGTGTAGTATGTGTAGTTGGTGTAGTATATGTAGTTGGTGTAGTTTGTGTAGTTGGTGTAGTTGGTGTAGTATGTGTAGTTGGTGTAGTATATGTAGTTGGTGCAGTAGCTGTAGTATGTGTAGTTGGTGTAGTATATGTAGTTGGTGTAGTTACTCTAGTTGGTGTAGTATATGAAGTTGGTTTAGTATGTGTAGCTTGTGTAGTTGGTGTAGTTAGTGTAGTTGGTGTAGTATGTGTAGTTGGTGTAGTATGTGTAGTTGGTGTAGTATATGTAGTTGGTGTAGTATGTGTAGTTTGTGTAGTTAGTGTAGTTACTGTAGTTGATGTAGTATATGTAGTTGGTGTAGTTGTAGTTGATGTAGTAGGTGTAGTTGGTGTAGTTAGTGAAGTTGGTGTAGTATATGTAGTTGGTGTAGTTAGTGTAGTTCGTGTAGTATATGTAGTTAGTGTAGTATGTGTAGTTGGTGTAGTTTGCATATATAGTTGGTGTAGTTATAGTTGGTGTAGTTACGTAATATGTAGTATGTGTAGTTGGTGTAGTTAGTGTAGTTGGTGTAGTATATGTAGTTGGTGTAGTATGTGTAGTAGTGTAATTGGTGTAGTTGGTGTAGTTAGTATACTATATGTAGTTGATGTAGTATATGTAGTTGGTGTAGTATATGTAGTTGGTGTAGTTTGTGTAGTTGGTGTAGTATATGTAGTTGGTGTAGTATGTGTAGTTAGTGTAGTTACTGTAGTTGATGTAGTATATGTAGTTGGTGTAGTTGTTGTAGTTGATGTAGTAGGTGTAGTTGGTGTAGTTAGTGAAGTTGGTGTAGTATATGTAGTTGGTGTAGTTAGTGTAGTTCGTGTAGTATATGTAGTTGGTGTAGTATGTGTAGTTGGTGTAGTTTGCATAGTTGGTGTAGTTAGTGTAGTTGGTGTAGTATGTGTAGTTGGTGTAGTTAGTGTAGTTGGTGTAGTAGCTGTAGTTGGTGTAGTATGTGTAGTTGGTGTAGTATATGTAGTTGGTGTACTTTGTGTAGTTGGTGTAGTTAGTGTAGTTCGTGTAATCCAATACAATAACAGAATGAATTTTACATTATCGCATATAAATGGCAAAAGAGAAAGAGAGAAATCTACAGGTGCCATTAGGAAATAATAACGATTAATACAATAAAACATGAAGTTTATTTAAATCTTTCAGTTATAAAATGCCCATAATTAGCTTCTGAGCTAGCTGAGATAGGCACAAGAGAAGAAGAAAACACAATGACAGAAAGTAAATAAAGAATACAAAACCAGGTGCAGTCTAGTTTGTATAATATTCAATAACTTTATTAATTAATTGTGCAATGAGGAAAACGTGATTTATACTTGCAAAAAAGAAAGAAAAAAGTGCAAAAAGAACATAGCAAAGGTAAAGAGGATAACAGAAATATTACAGTGGTTCACTTAGAGGGAATATAGCTTTTATGAATTTACACTTACCCTTTATTTTTATTTATATTTTCTTATGCACTTTGCTCATAAATATAGTGACAAAGCAAAAAGAAATGATTAAAAAAGAAATAAAGAAAATAAACTATAGAGAAAGAGAGAGA